TAAAATATTGTACAACTTTAATGTGTTTTCTTTTGATTAGAATTGGTCTTCGGTGGTAGCGAAAAAAAGTGATCATGTAATCTTATCTTTAGCATGATCATATCACATTTTTTTATATAATTGTGTCACGTGTCTATCTAATACATAAAAATGAAATAAACGTTTTTTAAAATACTTTTATTTTCTAATTTAAAACAAATACAGAAACATTCCACTCCATTTGGGTGGATATTTACACGGTAGATAGATTGGCGTACAAAGTATAGTAAATAAATAGCGTAATAAGTAAATGAATACAAAAGATACATTGAATTTAAAGCTTGTGGGTTAAAAAATTGGACATAGGCTGGTTTGGAAAATTTTTGCCAACAAAAGTGGTGAAAGAGTATAACGTATAGAAGAATAGTCGAAAACAGAGCTGGTTTACATGGATTTCATCCCATTTTGTGCAATAAACATAGTAAATACCAAAGAAAAATAAATAAGCACTAGAGTAGTCACACACACATTTGTTGTTTTACAAAGATTTCATTTACATTAAATTTTGTACAATAGTGAATTGCAAAAACAGAAAAATAAGTGTATGAATAATTATTCGAAACTGATGCTGGGGCGGGTGGTGAGTTCGTTGGAACAGCTAAAATGAAAATATGGGGTTATCATGTATGAGGATGATGTGGGTAGGTAGGTGGGGGAGGTAGAGGTGTGTGAAATAAACTATGTGGCTCTATATCAGGGGTCTCCAAACTACGGCCCGCCGGCCGGATGCGGCCCGCAAGGTCCTCTCATCCGGCCCTCGGAGATCTTTTGTCCACGGATAAAATGTCTGTTAGAGGTGGCTGAGGAACTTTTCCCAGAAAATTCAAAACAATTTGAAAATGTAGCTTTGGGTGCAAATACCCTTGCATACCTTGTTGCAGACATGGGTGAACACGTCGTGACTCAAATAGCGAAAAATGCAAGCACGTTTCACTATTTTTTAATTGCAAAGGATAAGTCGCTGTACAGCTGTTTCACCTCTCAACTGCTTGTGTTCATTATTGGTGTGGATGAAGAAATGAACATACCACAAGAGCTGGCTTCCCTACATAATATGTATGGCACTAATACCGGAGAGGATATATTCAATGATTTAATAAAACATTTGCTGATTATAACTTGGACTGGACTAACCTCAGTTGATTGATGATGAGGAAAATTACATTAGTGGCATAAAGAAAGGCTTGGTTGGACAAGCGAATGAGAAAAAAACATTACACAACCAATGCTCCTGCACTTATTTATTCATCAGCAAGGTTAGAGTGCTAAATATATGGACATTAGCAGTGTACTGAATCCTGTGGTGAAGATGGCGAATTTAATAAGGTCACATGGGCTCAACCATAGATGTAGAATACGTGAAGAATAACTTGACAGTGTTTCAGATTTTTTTTTCTCTGGGGGGAGGGGGGAAGGCGGCACTTGATATTTGTATATATTCTATATAAATTATAAATTTTAGTGGGGGGGGAGGGGGGGGGGCGGGAAGGTGGACGTTTTTTTCGGGGGGGGGGGGGGAAGGGGGGCTGCTCCATAACACCGAAGATATGCCTTGAAGAAACTCTGGCCCCCGAATTGATATTTGATAGTCAATGCGGCCCTTGGTCTGAAAAGATTTAGTATAAAACAACACACCCTGCTGGTAATATTTAATTTTTATGTTGCAAAAAATTTCTTATACTTTCGAACCAGGTGGTCTTAAGGTAGACGAAGTGGGGTCCATCTGTATTTGTGACCATGGTATGAAGGCAAAGTGTGGCAAAGTGTGGTTAGCACCATGTCATAGTGTTTATATTTCCCCCAGTGGCGTAGCGAGGTCGGGTGTCACCCGGTGCGGCACTTAATGGTGTCACCCCCCCCCCAGAGGCGTAGCGACCCTTCCCGGGGACAAACTTTCAATTTTCGATTTGCACCCCTCCTTCATTTAAACTTTCGATAAACAGATGGCGTTGTCGGATGGTGTAGCACACAAATGATTACCCGAAAATCCACCAGTCTAGTCTGTTAGACGTCAATGAGTCCACCCAGCTCTCATGGGTAGCTTATACAGATATGGAAAAATCAGTGGCGTAGCCAGGGGGGGGGGGGGGGGGGGTGCGGACCGCACCGTGTGACACCATTTAGGGGGGTGACACCCAGGCAAAAATTAGCAACATATATAGAGAAAAATGATAATTACACTTAATTAAGTGATTAATTCTAGTGTTAAATAGTCTTTTAAGAGGTGCAAATCGAACGTTTGAGGGTGTGTGCAAATCGAAAGTATGAGGAGGGGGGGGGGGGGTGCAAATCGAAAGTTTGAATGAAGGAGGGGTGCAAATCGAAAATTGAAAGTTTGTCCCCGGGAAGGGTCGCTACACCTCTGGGGGTGGGGGGTGACACCATTAAGTGCCGCACTTATTTTATTGAAAAATTACGACCATTGTCCTATTTTAACATGTTAAGCGACTTTCCCATAATCATTTAATATTTTCAGGAGTCCCGAACTATAACCTACTATCCACACTTGAAGCAGGTGTTGTCTACTGCTTAAAAAAGAGGCTCTAATGAATGAATCAGTTATGTGAAATAAAGCGAGACTCCAATTGTACTTTATAAGCAATTTTATATTTATGTCAAATGTTATGGTATGTTGCATTCTCATCCAAGTTTATCATCTGCTTTAATTTCAAAACCGTTTGGGTGAAATTGTATTGTCCAGTTTGCACATACGAGGTATATTGTCAAGCTGTTAATTAATAGAGTTAAAATAAAGCTTGTTCTAAAGATGAAGAACTTTAGTTTATTTAATTTTAATTAAAACTATCTATCTAAAACAATTTTTACCTACTAACACATCATAAAGAACATACTCTGTAAGTTACAGTATAAATCTAAACTAAAACACTTTTAAAAAGTTTGGCTTTCTGGATCCAAAGTCCTGATAAGATGAATAAACGGTAATAAACCTCAAGTGGGGCAGTTTACTAGCATGAATTCTTATTGCAGTGTTCAGAAAGTTCATTGTCAGTTTTTGATTCGGCAGCCTTTACTTTTTCAGTCCCTGCAATGTCAGTCTTCCCTATGTCATCCTCTGTCATGTCATTTTTCACTATGTCAGCCTTTGTCATGTCAATCTTCCCTATGTCATCCTCTATCATGTCATTCTTCACTATGTCAGCCTTTGTCATGTCATTCTTCTCTATGTCGGCCTTTGTCATGTCAGTTTTCCCTATATCAGCCTCTAACATGTTAGTCTCTGTCATGTCAGTTTATGTCATTTCAGTATTCATTATCTCAGCATCTATCATGACAGTCTTCTCTACCTCAGTCCTTACTGGGTCAGCCTCTGTGATGTCAGTCTTCACTATGTCTTTCTTCACTACATTAGTCAGCACTATGACAGTTTTTGTCATGTTAGTTTGCACTATATCAGTTTCCACCATGTACATTTTCGACACGTCAGTTGCTGCCTTGGATTTCAATGCATTCAAAGATCTTCGAGTTCTCGAAATGTTTTTCGGCGCTGAAACTTCAATATCGACCTTAGTGCCGTAAACATAGGTAAACAACCCGGTAAGTTGGAATTCGTAATTTGTTTCATCTGTGAGCTCGCTTATGATCATTTCAGATTGTGGGTATGCTTTTTTCAAGTCGGCCCAAAGCCACGGTTTAGAGTTTTGCGCCACCTGCTGTTTTAGTGCCTTATAAAAGGCATTTTGCCAATCACCTAATTTGTAATCGAAAGTCGTTTTTTTTTGCACTTCCACGATGTTCAAAATGATAATTTGTAGTTGGGCTATTTATACCGTCGCCCCATCTAAGGTGTCCTCCAAACTGCGTCGAAAATTTAGCCCGCACAGTTACGTTGTACGGTATCGAGATGCGTGTTCTATAGAAAAGTAATTTCCATTGTAATTCGCTTCTAGCAGGTACGGTAACTGTTGAACTAGATGTGAAAGTGGATGATGAACTGTTGTTTGTACCCTGAACTTCTATTTGCGTATTTTCATAAATAAATTTGTAGTTTAACTGAGGAACAAAATGTTTGAAAGGCGATGATATTTCTACTCTAAACTCATGAGCATTTTTCCATGAATTCGTTGTTGTGTGGGTCACCGTTTGTGATGCTGTATGACTGGCCGTTATTGTCGAAGTTAGAGGTTCAGTGTTGGCGTTGGTAATTTTTTTCTCTCTAACTGTTTCAACGTCAATAATTTCTCTATTCATTTCACCAAATTTCTCGTTCATTTTTTCGAATGACCAGTCAATGTAATCGATTGTAAGTCTTTTGTCGTGCTTATTACCTTCACAACCTTCAAATAGAACAGTTTCCCACCTGTGACCTTTTCTTACAAAATCCTCACCGACATAAGTACTTCGACACCCGTGGCACAAATCATACCCTAGGTAGTGGGCCAGATAAGACAACGGGAAAAGAGTTTTATCCATAATCAATGTTATGACACTGTCTATGCCATCCAATGTATCTATCTTATCCATCATGGAGCAACATCAAAACTCAGTCAGACATTCTGCTTCATGGAACGCCTTTCTGTATACACCAGCAAGATGATAGCCTGCTTTACATTCGCAAGGTCCTTTCTTCTGATAACAATTAGTGATATCAAGCTCCTCGCAATGTTTGTAGCGGTGTGGGTGGTCAGACGGCTTTGCGCAGAAACCTTCTTCAATGTGGTACAAAGACTCCTCTTCTTGTTTATAGAAAGTATTATCAATGAAATCAAACCAATGTCCAGTATACATATAGCCGGAGTATTCCCTTTTTGTTTCGGCTATTTTAGACGTTCTACGTATGCCTGTTAGAAAATGACCCTCGGGGCACAACGCCCAGCCCATGTTGTTGAAACTATCCCACCAGTTTTGTACAACCACTTGTTGATGAGAGGGACTCCACCTTGCTGAGCCAGGTCGGCAAACGCCACTTTTAAACCGAGTCAAACCTGAGTCGTGTATCCATCCCAT